ATCAGATTGTTAAATATTGAGAAGACAACTTCCTTCGAGGAAGTTGGAGCTGATTTTCCATGCAGTACTTCGATTACAGACTTGCTGCCCATCAGATCAGTATAAAATCCATCAGCTCACGCCTCCACTCACCAACGTTCTGACTTTGTGTCAGATTGTTAAATATTGAGGCTGAAATAAGAAGACAACTTCCTCGAGGAGGTTGAAGCTGATTTTCCATGCAGTACTTCGATTACAGACTTGCTGCCCATCAGATCAGTATAAAATCCGTCAGCTCACGCCTCTATTTACCAACGTTCTGACTTTGTGTCAGATTGTTAAATATTGAGGCTGAAATAGAAGACAACTTCCTTCGAGGAGGTTGAAGCTGATTTTCCATGCAGTACTTCGATTACAGACTTGCTGCCCATCATATCAGTACAAAAATCCGTCAGTACAAAATCCGTCAGCTACACGCCTCCACTTACCAACGTTCTGACTTTGTGTCAGATTGTTAAATCTTGGGGGCTGAAATAGAAGACAGGAAGTTGGAGCTGATTTTCCATGCAGTACTTCGATTACAGACTTGCTGCCCATCAGATCAGTATAAAATCCATCAGCTCACGCCTCCATTCACCAACGTTCTGACTTTGTGTCAGATTGTTAAATCTTGGGGCTGAAATAGAAGACAACTTCCTTCGAGGAAGTTGGAGCTGATTTTCCAATGCAGTACTTCGATTACAGACTTGCTGCCCATCAGATCAGTATAAAATCCATCAGCTCACGCCTCCATTCACCAACGTTCTGACTTATGTGTCAGATTGTTAAATCTTGGGGCTGAAATAGAAGAACAACTTCCTTCGAGGGAAGTTGGAGCTGATTTCCATGCAGTACTTCGATTACAGACTTGCGTGCCCATCAGATCAGTATAAAATCCATCAGCTCACGCCTCCATTCACCAACGTTCTGACTTTGTATCAGATTGTTAAATATTGAGAAGACAACTTCCTTCGAGGAAGTTGGAGCTGATTTCCCATGCAGTACTTCGATTACAGACTTGCTGCCCATCAGATCAGTATAAAATCCATCAGCTCACGCCCTCCACTCACCAACGTTCTGACTTTGTGTCAGATTGTTAAATATTGAGGCTGAAATAGAAGACAACTTCCTCGAGGAAGGTTGAAGCTGATTTTCCATGCAGTACTTCGATTACAGACCTTGCTGCCCATCAGATCAGTATAAAATCCGGTCAGCTCACGCCTCTATTTACCAACGTTCTGACTTTGTGTCAGATTGTTAAATATTGAGGCTGAAATAGAAGACAACTTCCTTCGAGGAGGTTGAAGCTGATTTTCCATGCGAGTACTTCGATTACAGACTTGCTGCCCATCATATCAGTACAAAATCCGTCAGTACAAAATCCGTCAGCTCACGCCTCCACTTACCAACGTTCTGACTTTGTGTCAGATTGTTAAATCTTGGGGCTGAAATAGAAGACAGGAAGTTGGAGCTGATTTTCCATGCAGTACTTCGATTACAGACTTGCTGCCCATCAGATCAGTATAAAATCCATCAGCTCACGCCTCCATTCACCAACGTTCTGACTTTTGTGTCAGATTGGTTAAATCTTGGGGCTGAAATAGAAGACAACTTCCTTCGAGGAAGTTGGAGCTGATTTTCCATGCAGTACTTCGATTACAGACTTTGCTGCCCATCAGATCAGTATAAAATCCATCAGCTCACGCCTCCATTCACCAACGTTCTGACTTTGTATCAGATTGTTAAATATTGAGAAGACAACTTCTTCGAGGAAGTTGGAGCTGATTTTCCATGCAGTACTTCGATTACAGACTTGCTGCCTATCAATTCGTTGCTTTCACGCGTCAACTGGGGCTCAGGTGGAAGACAACTTTCTCGGTATGTGAAATATGCCGACAGCAACTACCGGAATTCATTCTTTAGGCTTGAAAAAAAAGCAAGCGAACGAGCGGAAAAAAAAGACAAACAAGGCAAGTGAAAACAAACGTTGGATCACTGGTGGCAATCAAAACATGGAAGGAGTACAAGCTCACCAGTATTTATCAAAACAACGTGCAGACAGATTTCATTTTCCTTTTGCTGGATTGATGAGACTTCCAAAGAAAAGGATCTCTTTGCTTCTATCATTCTGGATGAAGAACAAAAATGGATGGTCGGCTCGGAATATTGTTTTCCTGGGGTGGGATAACAGCAGCGCGTCATTTGCACAGCTGTAGCCGCTGCTGCTTCAGTTCCTTCCTCATTGACTTCAATTTTTGCTTGATGAATTACATTGGAGATAAATGTCCCTGACGGGGACATGCCCGAGAAATCAGCCTCGCAGCAGAATGCGGTTTTCATGCCAAGTGCAGAAAGCTCCTTCTTCAAATTGACTTTATGTTCGATCTGGAAGCGCGGAATATAAACCTCAACCTCCTGATTCACCATTTTCCGTTGCACATCCTTCAACCGTTCAGGCGTCAAGCCTTCCGATAATTGTTGGACAGAGTTGTCAGGAAGCACAATGGTCATGCATAAGTTGTCATCCTTGTGAGGTAAGCCCTTGTAAGGTAAGCGAATGGCTCGGAAGCCCTGATCTTCCATGTAATCAACAACCATCTTCCCATACATCAGGGGCACTTTAACACTTTTTTCGTTTTCCCAATATGAAATTCAGCGTCCTCCGTACGTTTTGGATCGAACTGCTCCATCCACTTTCCTTTGAAATGAATGGCATTTAGAAGCACCAGAGGTCCAAGAAGATCCTCTTTGGTGATAAGTTTGTCTATTTTGCCGGCTGTTACGCTCTTCACCATATGTGTAGTTTTGATCTTTACGCATTCAGCTGGCTTTCTGCAGAGGAAACATCTGCAAATCTCGAGTATTGAGTCACTTACCTGAAATCAGTTGAAACAGCCTCAGCAAAGTAGTTGTCAAGGCACTTCTTCTTGAAATTTTCAAAAGACGAAACCCTTTATCAACATACAGCCTATTAGCCAGATGGACTGTTTTCAACTGCTTCAGGGAAGTCAGAAGTTGCCTTCATCGAGCCATGTAGTTGTTCATCATCTGCGAACTCCTTGAGACACAATGCTTTCTTCATATTTGCATTTGTCGAGCGGCGGGATCCGAGCAGCACCATCCCCATTGCAGTTTGGACACTCAGAGGGGAGAAGAAGACATTTGAGTTTTTCGGTGCATTCTTCCGATACTTGACGGAAGAGCTTCAGACAGAAGGCAGCGTTGGCCGACGAGAGAGCTTTCCTTGGATCCCTTTTGTACGTTTTCTTGCATTTTTTTGCATTTGCGAGGACCTCAAGAGTTTCCTGGAAATTTTGGTCCCAACGTGCCGAAAATGGAACTTGCTGAGAAAAAAGGAATTAATGTCGAAGTGATGGACAACCGCACCTTCAAGTTGCGCGACCGGCAGAAGCGCAGCGCCAGTTTTGATCACCAATGAGCAAATTCCAGATTTAGATTCTGGTTGTGAAAATTTGGGGCTTCTCTTTCTCACGTTCATCGTCGTTCTGAATAAGTTCGTTGTAGTTGCATGCAGGCACAGGTCTGGTGTGATCAAGCAGCACGAATTCGGGACCTTCTAATAATTGATTGATTCGATTCCTCAGTCGCCAAACGTTCAGCACAAATGTGTGACTGGCCACCAAAAACGTGTCCCTCGCATTTCTGATTCAGGCGACCCCGAGGCCTGCTTGAAAAAATGATGGTCACAGAATTCAAATACGCTTTTTTCAGTTCCTCATAAGAGTTGATGTGGACATCTCGCAGAAATTGTGCCACGCAGTTTATAAGAAGATCAGTTTTATTTTGGGATAGTTTTTCATTGAGATACAAAGACGGATAGAAAATCCTCCTTTTACCTGTTTCGAAGCAGTCCTTCTTAAATGGGGAAATAGCCTTCCCTTTCCAGCTACTTTCAGAATCCCCCTCGTACCCTGATCAGTCCTTATCCCAACTCCTTTGTAACTCGCGAGCCCCTGCTTCCTACAATCACGTCGGCATTTCCACACCTTCAGTTTCGTCCAAATCATTGTTTCTCTCTTTGATGTGAAGTCCTCCAGAAGCTGCAACACCAGATCGTCACTTGTTCATCCCTCAAACACGATGCCGTGATGAATCAGTTCACTCTCATAAAGTCATATGGATAGCGATTAAGGAACGCACACAAGCACCTAGCTGTTCTTGATAGTAGTCATAGATATTGAAGGGAGTGAGGGCTGCTTCTCCCCATTTTAGAAAGTATGCTGTTGGTCTTGGATAAAAAGAATTATGAAGAAACAGATTTTAAACTTTACCAACAGTTTACAATATAAACTTGTGCAAATCTGAGTTCTGAGTCATGGGATGGACAGCACGACCAACAACGTCTTCTGTGATCCGGACCCTACAACCAAGCAACAGGAGTGACCGAATTGACTAATTTCCAGATCTATAGTTTTCAACTCTCAAAACTTACAGAGATCCGGTTTCCATTTCTGGAGCAACAAAACTAATTTCTTCCATAATTCTGCGAAAAAAACCGGAAGTGTTGATTGTTCAACATCCAACTTACTTTTCAATAATTGTTACCAACCGGCGAGGCCCCAATATTCTCCACAAACGAATTCACCTCATACGCAACTATGCAACAAAACATACTGATCGTCGAAGTAGTCAGACACGTACCTCGGGCTATTTCGTTGGTGGCAGCAGGTTCAAAAAGAAGTGTAACCCCTTCTGTTGCCAATAGAGCTGAAGAAGCAAAGTAAGTCCGACGGTGAACAAATTAACTACCAATATTTTGTTCCAGAAGATTGTGCCTTGTGTCAGTCAGGATTTTCCTAAAGTCTCCTTCAGTCAATGGTTTCAGCTCAACACGAACGGGTAAGCGTCCCTGCAATTCTGCCATCATGTCGGAAGGCTTCACGCTGTGGAACGCCCCTGAAGAAGAAACAGACCATAGGGGAGCTCGCCAATTGTGTAGCTATTCGTTGAATACGACTCCAGGATAGAATTTACCGGAGGCAATGAAAAGAATGTGGTCGGTTTTAACGTTTCCTGAGGAAAGTGACAATAATGACTTCGAGTGTGGCAATGATCTCTCACCATAGCGCGTATTGATCGTTGGTGCCTTCAATTAAGGGAAGAAGATCCCGTTGAACACCCTCAGCTGAGGCATCGGGGCCGCTGTAGGCATGCGACTAGAAAGCCAAACGGATGCCAAATTGTCTTCGATCATTTCGTTGTACCTTATTGGAACAGATCTTGTCAATTTCATCTAGAAAAACGATTCCCTCTTGTTCAACTGCTTCGATTGCTTGTTGAGTAATCCTTGACTACAACACAGCGAATAACATCCACAACAGAAAATCAAAGCCTACCTTTGCAACTGACCCAATCATTCGAGCAAATTCGACATTTGCTAAAACAGCGCGGGCCTCCTTCACAGATATCGTACGCTTCTCCAACCTTTCTCGTGCTTCAGAAAAGTGTGAATAGAGATGAGACACCATCTCTGCCACTCTTACTTCGCGAGGAGCCAAATGCGCTGCTTCTCCATCCGCCATTTCCTCCCGATGAAGGATTCCAGAATTGAGAGCCTGATGATGTGAATGGAGTGAAATCAGTTGAGTTGTTTCCGGAAGAGAAATCTGGGAGATCAGACGAGAGACCTGCTCAGAACAACAATTGGATGGATTATCTGGTGTATCGCTAACCCCCTCCTCCCGTCATCGAATAGGGAACTTCGACGGAAACAACTTGATTGTCCAAACGTCCCAAGCGCAAGCTTTCATACATCTCAACATCAGCCTCGATCTGAAGAAATAGCCAAAGTTTCTCAGTTCACTCAAGTAGAGCTGACTGTTAATTGACCCGTCAAAGCTTGTAGAATTCGTTCGTCTGCTGATCTCTGAGCTTGTGGAAAGAACTCAGCTTCGAGTCTGATGTATTGTCGTCTAACGGCAAGTTCAACAAGATCCCTGCAAGATTCAACTGTCTTCCCAAAACTTCACTCCAATCCTTACTTGATTATAGTATCCACATCGCGACCATGAAATCCAACTTCAGTGTACTTTGTCGCTTCAACCCTACAGCGATACGTCAAATTTCCTCCATTACAACTTTCATCTCACTTAATGAATGGTGCATCCAATATTTTCGCCATTCTTCTTGCAATTTCTGTTTTTCCCACACCCGTTGGTCCAATCATTAATATATTTTTTGGAGCAATATCATCTTTCAGCTCGTCATTCCTTAATTGTTGCCGTCTCCAGCGACTTCCTGAGTGAATCATAAGTTTGGAACTCATCATAGATAACGACTCCAGCGGGTAGAACTTCCACACATTCAAAATGACTGACTTAGCGCATTAGCCACAGCCTTTTTAGCTTCTAACTGGCCCACGATATGCTGATTCAAAAATTCAACAATTTCGGATGGTTTCAGGTCTTTGACCGAATTGGACGACACTTGAGCTTGTGATGTCGAAGGACTGCTTTCACGGTTTTCGTCTGCGGGTTTCGCTCCATTCTCTGGCTTCACGAAGAACGAGCCTCCGGAAACGTTCGAAAGCCCTGCGATAAAAAAAAATTAAAGTTGGAAGCTGCGAAACATGGAGTCACCAGAAACAAAAATGAAGTCGCTCGACGACTTGGTGGATTCTTTGGAAGCGTTATTCTGAGTTGCGCCATTTTCTATCGTTAATTTTGCGTTTTTTTCCAGGATGGCGTTACAACAACTCCGGAGCCTGTTTTCAGCTCACGAGTGGAAACCTGCCGCCTAGGCTTCAATCTTGAAATTTCTGAATGTTGTTTGTCTCGTGATGGGAAAACTGGTCTTTCATCGCAAACTTCGACGACACCTTCACGAGAAATGGGCGCCTCGTGGTGCTTCGGACGATCTCGGCGGCGCAACTTGTCTGTTCTTGAAAACCGTTTGTTTCCGCGACGGTTAGGCAAATCTCGAAAGGAATTGGAATGATCGGAATATGATCGTTTAGAAAATTGACTGAAGTCCTGGCGTCCGCATCGTTCTCTGAGACTGAAGAGACAACCCGGACCCACGCGTCCAAAAAGAGATGCACCCCCTGAACCTATTCCCAATAGAACATTCTTCTCACGCTCATCGCTACGACTTTGAAGTGAACTGATCTGATTGTGGAGGTTGACACCTTCAGGAGAACGAATCCTCAAGTGACGAACATAGAACGCTTCAGCACTGGGAACTGATCTTGAACTGGAACCTGCAGATTGATGAGATGTAGGAGCAGAGGTACTGAAACGGTTGTAGATGTGCCGCTGAAGTTGGGTTGCACTTCTCATTGAATCCAGGTTGTCCAGTGAAGACTTCACCGTTTATTTGAACCAGCGATACAAACACTCAAGAAATTTATGCAAGACACGCATAACAGTAAGTCTATTCTACTGATGTAACATTGTTCTTCACAGTTTCATTGAAGCGCTAGACAAATTCCGAGATAGAGTGTACCTACTGAGACTTGCTCGAAATTGAAGGTCAGCAAACTGTCCTTTGACGTGCTTTTCTGTTTTTAAATTTAATATTTGTAACCGGGAAAATAATGAGCACTGGGAAATCTACTAAACATCCTCGCAAACCGTTTCTATGGAATGTAAAGTGCTCCTTCAAGCGAATGCATTTTTGGTCGCGCTGTAGAAATCTATATACGACGTTCCAGTGGCTGAGGCTGGCTCCTCTGTTTGGAGTGCGCTAGTCTTCAAAAAAGGCGTCCAGCTTTGATGTTATGTAGGTTTGGGGTGGTAGCAAGTCAATACAGACACCAAGAACCAATAGGTTGGTAAACTTAGCTGTTTATAGCGGCAGCCTTCTTTGGTCATAAATCCAGTTTGACAGCTAAAAATACGAGATGTTTCGAAGTAATGAACGAATGGCATTACCTGCTTCAAACCAGGCAAGTCAAAAATAAACCCAAGCGGCGTAAGTCGTATAGAAGCAACAACATTTGGAAGTAGAGCATTGAACAATAACCAAACCCCATAAATTTGAAGTAACAAGCCTGAAGACCAACATGGATCTTGAAAGCAATAGTGAATCCCATACCAATCATGGACCACCCCCAAACAATAATACCAAATCCACTGAAATAAAACAGCGATCCCTTCATTTTTTCTCTCTTAAGGAAAAACCGAGCGAAACCGTAAGGTCCGATGATAAAGCCGATGCCAAACAAGAAGGCTAACTGTCAACACAAATGCAAGGTATGACTCTTGTATCGGGTGAATTCCTACATTCCCAAGAGAAAGTAAAATTCGATCAAAAAGAAAGAGAACCCCTGTTCCTGCTAGTAGAGATCCCAAAGCACACAGTCCTATGCCAATTTTACGGTTGTCATCAAACATCTTCACTGAAGATCGTCAAACTGAGAAAAGGATTGAAAGTGATTTGATTGGCGCAACTTACACGAAAAGAAACAGCCTAACGTCTCATTGTCACCTTCTCAGACAACAAATAAATGTTGCATCTTGGTCATATGGGTCTTTCAAATATTACCTGGAACAATATGAAGAATCCCTGACCCAAAACAGATGAAAATTTAACGGCTAAACTCTTAAAGGTTTCTATGTTTGTTTTCTTAGATCTTCAAAAATGTAAATCTTAGAATGGCTCTTTTTCCTTTTTCTGTCTGAACAACATTATCCACCGCCTTTTCTTCATTGATTTATTTATCAGTTCCGCTTCGCGCTTGTTCGTCCCACCATGTCATTTTCACCAAGGCCTCCGCCGAAATTCCAACAGTACAACCAATATCCTAGACGTGCCCCAGAACCCCAGTTACAACCAAATCCTTCGCCAAAGCGTTTCTCACCAGCACCACGACCCAATTTTGGTCCGCCTCGGCTGCCTGCGCCACCGGTTCAACAATTCCGACCTTTTTCCTCTGGAAGCGCTCCCTTTGCGCAACGTCGCAAGTCATATCAACCAGATGATAAGTTTCCACCCCAAGGGAACGCCACACGGTGTTCTTCAGCGCCGCCACCTCCGCTTGTCTCACCAACGACTCTCGATTTTGATAAGCAAAAATCTTTTCAAACTAAACTTGACGCAGTGAGTGTGACGCCCCTTCTTCGTTCTCATCAATTTCATCAGGTGCTTTCTAATAAAGCAACTTTTCTAAAGTCGGCGATGGCTTCATTTAGGGTGAGAACCGCTAACCACTGACATTCTATCATTTTTATTTCGCAGCAATTTGATACAGATGGGGATGGTAAACTGGAATTTCGAGAGGTGCAAAAATTGATGGAAAAATTGATCGATAATTTGCAGCTTCCTTCGCTTGACGGTGAGCTCTCCCACTGTACTGTGAGATGGATAGTAATGACGGATAGTAATGATGGATAGTAATGATGGATAGGAATGATGGATAGGAATGATGGATAGTAATGATGGATAGCAATGATGGATAGTAATGATGGATAGTCAAGAGTCAATGATGAGGCAATTGCACTTTTTATATTTTACCAGAGCGGATGTTACACAGAATATTCAAGCGGTTCGATGCTGAGAATAGCAACTACCTCAAACTCTCTCAGTTTCAATTAATGGTAAGTTTTCGATTGACTTAGCGTATCCTCCCCTTCCCCCACAGTATTGGGAGCTTCTTCAAACAATCAAGGAAAAATTCTATCCGACACGTAAAGTAAAAGTTCGTCGAAGTTGTTTTGTCGGCCGGCGCGATTTATCGGGCGACCAGAACATCGAGAGTGAGTGACCCCGACCGAATATTTATTGTTGCGTTTTTGTTAGAATTATTCACGTTCGAGAAGCGTTTGGGCGCTGGATCGTTTGGTGAAGTGTTCCTAGTCCGTGAGAAGGCGTGAGTGACCTTCGCTATTCAGATGGAAGCATCTCTCTTCCTCATAGGTCTGGATTTCAGCGTGTATGCAAAATTATAAACAAAGATCTTTCGAAAATTCCGATGGAACAGATAGAAGCAGAAATTGATGTCTTGAAGAAATTAGATCATCCCAATATCATCAAAGTATTCGACGTTTATGCAGACTACAACTCCATCTACATCATCATGGAGTTCGTTGTCTTCTTCATGGCTGTAGTGAATTCTTGTTTTCTCGTAGAACATGCGATGGTGGAGAGCTTGCCGATCGGATTTCTAAAACCTTCGAGCAGGGTTTTATTTTGACGGAGAAATACGTTGCTAATGTGATGAGACAATTGTTAGAAGCAGTCAATTACTTCCATACAGCTCTCGTAGCGCACAAGTAAGACTGATCTTGACGTCATGACATTAATTTTGTTGTTAAATTTTATATTTTCCCGATTTTGTCATCAGAGATTTAAAGCCCGAAAACATTCTGTATCACAACAAATCCGAGGAATCTTCAATCAAAGTGATTGATTTTGGTACGACGTGTCATTCATCTGACATACTTGAGAGCTTCCTTAGGTCTTGCTGAATTGTTCGACCGTCAGGAGCACTTCAGTCAAAATGCAGCTGGAACGGTAAGTGTCTCCCATCTATTGAGAAAATCTTGCCCTACTCGCACAGTACCTCTACATGGCACCCGAAGTTCTGGACTACGTTGTTACCCTCAAGTGCGATATTTGGAGTTGCGGCTGCATCATGTTTCAATTGTTCACTGGTAAGCGCTTCATCAACGCCGCTTTCATCTATTCACCGATCCAGGCGAAGTCCCATTTCCTGGAGATACACTCGAGGAAGTTGAGAGGAAGTTGCGATATTGTGAGTGAGGCATCTCCAAGCTTGCTCTGACGTGGTTCCTGCTTTGCAGCGGAACCCGATTACACCAAGTTGAGCGGACTGCCTATCAGTGGGGCGGCTGTCGACTTGCTGAAGCGCATGCTCTGTCGCGATTTGAATCAAAGATATTCGGCTCAGCAGGTAAGCAGTGGAATGAGAAATTCATTGTCGTTCGTCTCAGTGCCTAGATCATCCCTGGCTTCAAAGTGTGAGGCATAAGATGGTCCAACTGCCCGAAGAAATCTGCGTCAATCTCAAGGTTTGTTTGGATTCTCACATGGAGATTAAACTGTTTATCTTGTAGCGATATCGACGTCAATCAAATTTAAAAAATGTGCTTACAAACATGTTGGCACACCAACTGAATGTTACTGGAGGTCAAGTCCGTCAAATCAACGACGTTTTCAAGGCGCTTGATGTCGATGGAAATGGATTATTGTCGAAAGCAGAATTAGCGGATGGTGAGAGTCCTAGAAGGATCGGGAACTTTGTCTGTTTGCGTCTTGTTTTCAATTTTGTCTGTTTGCGTCTTGTTTTCAATTTTGTCTATTTGCGTCTTGTTTTCTATTCAGGGTTGAAGCGAGTTGGTTTTCCCCCTCACGAAATCAGTCAGATCATCCATGCCCTCGATGTGGATGCTTCAGGTTTGTTGTTTGTTTCAGCATCCTTGTCGAGATGTGATTGTAGATTCTGTCTCGTACACGGAATTTCTGGCTGCTTGTTACACATGGAGGGAATCTGAGCTGAACGTTGTGTGGACAGCATTCAGTAAAATGGATCGTGACGATGATGGAAAAATTACGGTTGACGAGTTCATTGAATGTTTGACAAGCGCCCCAAAATCTGGTACAGACAATAAAGTAACACTCAAAACACGAATTGCTCATGATGAACGGGAATTAAGGAAGTGAGTCAGTTCTCATGGAATGGTTACAATTTGATAACAGAATGGCGCGCGAAATCGATAAAAATGGCGACGGAGTCTTAGATTGGGACGAATTTTTAGAATATATGAGGTGCGGGAGTACAATGGTCTCGTTAATGTCTTGTTTACAGGGGTTGAAACAGTGCTACCCATCAGCTCTGCGGTGATCGTTATGTAGTGACCATAAGCAGCATGATTGGCAACTCGAGCATCTCAACTCTGATACCAGTGATTCTTCCGCATCCCTTTTTCTGGGACAAAACTGCGTGGCCGTTCAACAAGATAGAAAAAAGGGAAAAAAGGAAATCGTTCAATTGCCAAGCAGCAAAATCTTGTCAATTGATATTTGGTCATACCCATCAAATAGAACCGCTATGCGACGAACACTTTATACCCTGGTTATTGTCTCTTGCTCTTCAAGTTGAGAGAGCATACTTGCATAACTTGCTTTTCCTGTTGAATTTTCTGTCAGTTCCCAGTTTTAGATTCTACGAATTTCCATCTCAAGTTTTCACTGACGGGATCTTTCGTCTACTGGAGAGCTCTCAATCTGTCGATCCTTCCCTGTGCAGACTCGATTCATAGAGCTGGAAGGTGATGAGCAAATACTGAGAGTCATCCCTTTTCGGGCCGCGATGACTCAACGATATATGGGGTTGATGGGTCGCTCAACGCAGCTTGGGTCGATTCGGGTTGGGAGTCGGCTTTCAATTGAATTGTTGAATCCACAGTCATTCCACTTTGTTGACCATTTTCCTTCCCTATAAACCGAAACCCGTTGTGGTATGTGGTCATTGGTAAATTGCGAGGGAAACTCTTGGAAACCACGAAGGAAGACAATCTTGGAGAATCGTGTATTGTCGACTCCTCAATTGACTCGATTGATCAGAACTTGTGAGATGCATTAATGAAAATGAACCTTCAACGATTTCCGATCGTGCAGCAATTTCGAGAATACGTCCGGAGACTCAGAGAGAATCAGAGGATGATAAAGACCAATCCCATTCTCCTTGTTTTCAGCCTGCAGAATTGAAGGATGTCACTTTTTAAGTCAATCACGGACACGTGTCACAGTTGCAAGAATCACGAGTTGGCTTTGAAACTGATCAGTCGACCCAAATGCAACATTGAGGATTCTTCCACCATTCAACCAAATTTCATTGATTACAATTCCGCAAATTTTTGACCCTCTCATTTAAAATTTCTCTCAGTGTGGTCTTGGATGTTGTGGATGATCTCTATGTTCAACTGTGAATTGGAATGGATGGAAAAAAGAAGCCATACAGTGTCCGATCTGCATCAAACGATCAGATGCAGAAAAACAATTGCAACTGGGACAGTCGGGACTTGCTTTAGTCGATTATGTTGCACAGAAACAGTATTTCGGCGCTATTGTCCGTTGATGTGCGATATTCTTGCCAATCACGCTGGCACGTGCACCTCTCTGCATATTGTTGCGAATCATTCACATCAATTGGCGCAAGCTTGATTCAGTTATAGAGCATCTTAGTCAGCGTAAATGGGTATTAGAAGCTCTTTCTGATGACACCAGGCCTGTCCTGCATGCAACGACACACGACCAAGAACTAATTACCATACAAAACGACGATGAACGTGAGAAAGAGAAGCCCCAAATTTTCACAACCAGAATCTAAATCTGGAATTTGCTCCTTGGTGATCAAAACTGGCGCTGCGCTTCTGCCGGTCGCGCAACTTGAAGGTGCGGTTGTCCATCACTTCGACATTAATTCCTTTTTTTTCAGCAAGTTCCATTTTCGGCACGTTGGACCAAAATTTCCAGGAAACTCTTGAGGTCCTCGCAAATGCAAAAACTTGCGATAAAACCTACAATCCAAAGAAAGCTCTCTCGTCGGCCAACGCTGCCTTCAGTCTGGAGCTCCTCCGCGAATTGTCCAAAAATGAATCGGAAAATTCAAATGTCTTCTTCTCCCCTCTGAGTGTCCAAACTGCAATGGGGATGGTGCTGCTTGGATCCCGCGGCTCGACAAATGAAAATATGACGAAAGCATTGTGTTTCAAGGAGTTCGCAGATGATGAACAGCTACATGGCTCGATGAAGCAACTTCTGACTTCCCTGAAGCAGTTGAAAACAGTCCATCTGGCTAATAGGCTCTATGTTGATGAAGGGTTTCGTCTTTTTGATGATTACAAGAAGAAGTGCCTTGACAACTACTTTGCTGAGGCTGTTTCAACTGATTTCAGGTAAGTGACTCAATACTCGAGATTTGCAGATGTTTCCTCTGCAGAAAGCCAGCTGAATGCGTAGACAAGATCAACACTTGGGTGAAGAGCGTAACAGCCGACAAAATAGACAAACTTATCACCAAAGAGGATCTTCTTGGACCTCTGGTGCTTCTAAATGCCATTCATTTCAAAGGAAAGTGGATGGAGCAGTTCGATCCGAAACGTACAAAGGACGCTGAATTTCATATTGGAAAACGAAAAAGTGTTAAAGTGCCCCTGATGTATGGGAAGATGGATGTTGATTACATGGAAGATCAAGGCTTCAGGGCTATCCGCTTACCTTACAAGGATGACAACTTAAGCATGACGATTCTTCTGCCTGACAACTCTGTCCAACAATTATCGGATGGGTTGACGCCTGAACGGTTGAAGGATGTGCAACGGAAAATGGTGAATCAGAAGGTTGAGGTTTATATTCCGCGCTTCCATATCGAACATAAAGTCAATTTGAAGAAGGAGCTTTCTGCACTTGGCATGAAAACCGCATTCTGCTGCGAGGCTGATTTCTCGGGCATGTCCCCGTCAGCGACATTTATCTCCAATGTAATTCATCAAGCAAAAATTGAAGTCAATGAGGAAGGAACTGAAGCAGCAGCGGCTACAGCTGTGCAAATGACGCGCTGCTGTAGGCCCCCCAGGAAAACAATATTCCGAGCCGACCGTCCATTTTTGTTCTTCATTCAGAATGACGAAAGCAAAGAGATCCTTTTCTTTGGAAGTCTCATCAATCCAGCAAAAGGAAAATGAAATCTGTCTGCACGTTGTCTTGATAATTACTTGAGCTTGGTGAGCTTGTCGTGCCTCGAGTTGCTTGTATCTGTTTGTTTTCACTCGCTGGTAGCAACTTGTTTGTCTCTCTTTCTTCTTTTTAATTCCCGTAGTCTTCTGTCTGCATCAACCAAATATTTCATGCATTCTGCTTCCAAGCGTCTTGCTACTTCGATCAATTGCTGAGATGAACCATCTCTTTCGTTGAGTGGCGCAATATGTCTAATTTTGTTTTTATGGCATCAATTGAGAAAAGACTTCATCGCAGATTTGTCAAACGAAGGTCTGATCCGTGGAGAGTGTGGCCCGCGAACCTAACGAAGGTACTTTGGAACGTCTCCCGAGCGGCGCATTGAAGTCGATCTTCAATTTTACGACGAGGAACACCCACACTTCCACCACAGTTACTCACAAGGTTCGTGAACACCTCCGGTTCAACCGATTTCGACGACTCCCAGGTTAGCGCAGAAGTTGAACCCCATTCTGACGCCGTTATAGTAGGAATTCCTTGACTTGAAGTTCTAGTCGTCTAAAGCAGGAGCGAGCAAGTTTTATCATTAATTAAGAGTTTAAACAAGCAGGAAGTTTTTGTTCGATGTGTCTCAATTCTTTAAAGGTTATTGACGATATTGAGAGAGTTCAAATTGGTCAACAACAGATAAAGGAGTATCGTTCAGCTAATCAGCGGCTTTCTTATCGCGTGCTCGTTCCCAACCTCACTTGTTATTCCATCCTGGAGTATTCAAAGCATTGCGCTTGATCGAACACATTTTCTCAAAGTAACAGCTGAGGGCTACTCCAGCATCGAGCCCATCCAACCCATGATCTCCCATTTTTTGTGAGAATGTCGTCTGGCTATATTCGCGCCCAAAAAATCTGGCAGATCCGCAGTTTGCACTGATGGATCGTGCTGATGATAGAAGGATGGAAGGAGCTGGTTTTGATCGTTGGTCCCACTGAAGCCTGTGGTGTTCTTGAGATCGAACCGACCAGGAAACTCTTTGGCTTCTTTCCGCCAGAATGGTGGCTGTTGACTTCATTTCTTTTCTTCAATTCTCCCAAGTTGATAACTTTTGACAATCTGTTTCATTGGAAATCAACTCAGTTGTTGCGACAACAAGCCGCAGAGATCTTCATAAGACATGTAAGGATATCCACAGTAAGCATATCCACAGTGACAATGGTGAAAATTGTAGCTGGGTCACATTCAAGATGCTTAACAGATGTGACAAGGTCCTCCAAGGTTGTGCTGTCCCGTTAAGGCCTGCCCCGAGTTCAGTCCTCCGAATCTGAGGATGATTGGCGCTCCAGCAAACAGGAAATTTAAGATTGTCTCTCCAAGAGGGCAGCGCAAATCATTCAAAAAGAGTGTTTCCTCGTTGGCGCTTGTCATACAGACCGTTCTGCCTTTTTCGCCTGAGAGTCATGATCTCCAGGGATGCGGCAAGGATGATGAATCCATTGAAAGGGACAGTTCTGTTCTGTCCGCTCCTTCGACAAGTTCAATTACCAGTCCACCAACCAATTCACCAACCGACGCATTGAGATTGCGGCACGCGGAGGACGAACTCTGGTATTACAAATGCCTGTCTGTGTGGTATTGTGTTGTCCTTGGGTGCTTATGCTGCCTGGCGGTACAATGGTGGCGCTGCCAATGGGGCCTTCAGCCATGAGTTTTGCCGTCTATGTGATAGCTCTCGATTTTTTCCTTGTAACAAAAAGACAAGTCATGACTTGTCTCCGTAACGAGAACCATCCGTTTCGTATCCCCATATTCTCTGAAACACGTGGAGGACTTATGTGTCGAAAGAGGGCCTTATTGTTGGAGAAACATTTCGAAAAGGGCTGAATTAATAAACCGTGCATCTTATATCTTCTGAATTCCGACGAATCTGAAACAGGTCTGGCTTCTTCACTAGATGTCCAACTTCAGAGGGATGGATGGTTTGGTTTGAGAATTCAGTGATCAAGAAATGCAGGGACTGTCAATTACTTTTCTGTTTACAAGCGATCTGGCGTGTGGATTGCAATCAAAACGGTGCTCGTTAACAGCTTTGAAGGAGCCGCTCTATACAAGAGGATTTTGTGTTGAAAACTGCTTCTGAGTCATGGATTGATCATGGAATGATGGCGCAGAAGTTGTAGCGATAGGAGGCTGCTGACGATTCCTACTCTCAGGGAATTGCTGGACGATAGATTTGTGGCGAAGCTCAATGAAGACGATTTCGTTGCGGACGCTCGCAATCTTACGATCCATGAATGTATTTTAACACAATGAGTCTGAAGATGTTGTGGATCTTCATCGTAATGCAGTTCAGACTCTTGGAGAAGTATGAGAGTTGACATCTCGTCCTTCCATTGGGTGACGCAACAGAATATACTCGATTATATCTTCTTGATTGGATCCTTGCGCCAATTATGAACTCATCTCGGGGTCCACGTTTCTTGCTTCGTTCCAAGGTTGAAACTTGTTAAAGAGACCGACCAGATTGTATGCGGACTGCATGCAAATCTTGCCACCATTGTTTGGTTCAATATTCATTCTCATTCATTTTCGACATTCCACAAAATGAGATTCGCTGCTGTTGTTGTTCTGTTTTTTATTCTTGGAGTGTCTTCAGAGAAACCAACAACGATTTCCTTCAAAATTGTCGAGGACTCGCCACCAAGTGTTGGGACGTGCGCAAAGCAGGAAGTGAAGACGAAGCCCGTAATCGCTCAAGACCTCCAATTGGAGAGTGGCGTTTATCCCATTGAAGTCTGTGCCAAAGTGACAGGTGGCACTGTCAAATCCTGTGGGTCAGACGGCCTCAAGGCAACATTCTTCGTCGATGTGTACGTCGATACGACCGTGGCTGAAACTCTCAAGATAGACAAGGAATTCGGAACTGAAAAGGACAAAACGTACTGCGCGGTCTTCCGTGGCTGCCAGATCTCCGAGGTCATCCCGAAAGGCACGAGTTCCTCCAAAGTGTCCCTTGTTGGCCGTGTGAGTGTCGAAAAGCTCGAGAAGGCGGACAGCAATCCCAAGCTTAACGCATTCATTCACGCTTCTGCTGCTGTTGCCAAATCAACAACTGACATCAAGGATCCCGTCCAAACAGGGGAACATCCTTTCAGTGGCATTTGCATCGGTTTCAATTGTGACGTTGCCTCCAAACTTTCAGACCTGGATAAACAGGTTGACACGATGGTTACCCGCGGAGATGACAAAATTCCTCGATGCATCAAGCCCGAAGACGGCGATACTATTTTCTATGCCATCAGTTACGTCAACGAAAAGGGTTGCAGTGGCTGCGAGACAGAATTGACATTCTCCAAGACTGAAGCCCCTCCAACGAATGCTCCTGAGAGCTCCACACCGTCAGGTTCCATACAATTAGCTGCAACTTCATCAGCCACAACTGTCGGTCTTTTATTAATGTTTGTGTAGAAACTTTGTTGCAGACATTTTTTGTGTTTTTCTCTATTCCGGATGCTTCAGTTTCCAAATTTGAAACGAAGAAAGTACAGGTACAAGAATAGTCAGAGATGGTTGAAGAAACATGTTGGCATTGAGGGGTGGAGACTCCACAAGACGACATCTGATTCCATATGCACTTCCATCCATCTGACGGACCCAGGAGTCTGATAGAAAGCCCTTAAATCCCAAGGCCACGTTGCCAAAGGAGTCCCTGCACCAGAAACAGGACATCGAATCAAAACTAGCCGTGAATGGTTCCATCCTCCACCAGAAGCGTGAGATAGAAAGACGTCCAACTTTGCTGTTGATATGAATTCAAGAATCACTCTTGCTCCCAACCAACAAACTTCCTCGAATTTTGTAATCCGGGTTGTGTTTCGATGTTAGCATTCGACTCCGCATCTAACGCCAACGTAGAATCACGCTTTTATCAATTAGTTCCATCTGATGCGCCATCATGCTTCGGAATGATGTCTTGCGTAAAGTATTTCTCCTTTCTTTGGAGATCGCCACGTCATGTTCGTTGCCTTCACTCTTGCTAGTATTCTGAATGCTGATATTCTGGATATCATCCTTTTTCCAATGCTTATTTGCAACTACGGCTGTTTAGAAGTACCTCACGACTTCTCAGTATCTGCACTGCTACCCTCGCCCTTTATCTCTATCTGCGTCTCTTTCCGTTCTCACTCGACGGATCGCTCCCATATGCACCCATACGAGACTGACCCTAAACGAGTTGACGATTGTGTGTTAAACTGCTTTGTTCCCATGCAGCATTGTCAGCCCAAGGAGTTCTGGTTGAACCCTCGAAACGTTCCTTGTAATCCAATAACTATCTTACACTCATATAATATGCATCGAAAATCAAACGGATGTGACTTTCTAAGTCTCAACCGTAACAGCAATTCACTCCATATATGTGGACCCTTGCGTTGCTGTTCAGACAACAAGCATTCCTTCAGCAACCTTTTTCGCTACGTCTTTCCCTTGCAACACTTCAACAAGTTGTAGGGCAAACTCCAATGCACTGCTAGGTCCCACACTGGTGATGCAGTTCCGAGACACAACAACTCGAGGGCTGCCCTTCGCCTTGATACCTTCTGGGAGGTTGAAGCATGGGTAGCTGCGTTGAAGAGAAACGCATGGACGATTGGAAGAACCGCGGCTCACCAACAGGCCTCATAGCCATCAAGAAGGTGGTGGTGGTCGAGAACAACAGCAGGAGAAGCGCAAATTGCAGCGAAGAGCCGACCAGAGGATCTTTGGGCTTGGAGCATTGAGATCAACTCAGAACAGTCTCGAAGATTGTCTGCTCCTTCTGCTCCGCCTGGGAGCTGATAACCGAAGAAGTGCGTGGGGTTGCTCTCAGAAACTCACAGCAATCAAATCATAGATGTTGTTCTTAACTTCATCAATTGTTGAGGTCGCAACAAGATGAATTCCTCGAGACCCTTTAATTTGTTTGTCTTTATGTACTGATGTGATTTCAACATCAATGCCTGAAAGACAGAATTTC